GAGAAGTGGGATCAGATTAGGCGAGCAATGCATTCCGCTGCGAATGTTGCTTGTGGGACTGAGCCTTAACCCCGTGTGAGGCACTGGATATCTGATGAGTCTGTAGCACTGATGGATCAAAAACGACAAATCCCGACCTGCCAGGATCAAAACAAAGTTAGGTGGCATCTACAAAATAAGCACACGAAGAGCCTCAAGAAGGACCGTGAGAACTGGTGATCAATAATAGCTAGTAAAATGGAAGTAGCGGCTGCATCAGGGAATAGTCAAAGACCGTTCCGACTGATACGCAATACGGGAGGTCGGCAAACTCCAGTTAGTGAAACTGTTAGAGCGATAAGAGGGAAAAAGCTTTTCATAATAGGGATCAACGACTCAATCGCTGGGCAGAATACTTCAGCGAACAGTTCATCTAGCCTAGTGCTAACCAGGCTGCTTCATCTACAACTGAAGCTCCATGGACAGTGTCATGCGATCCTCCAACAAAAGCAGAAGTTCGGTCTTGCATTCAAGTCCTAAAGCGAGGAAAGGCAGCAGGACCGGATGAGCTATTTTAGAGGTAGTCCACTGAAGAATAAATACAATGTTCCGATGTTTTGCAGGCGGATCAGATTACCCGACACGCATGCCTGATGAAGCAAGAACCGCAATGCCGGTCGTGTGCTTCCAGGGTAATTTTGTCGAATCATTCAGACACTACTTATTATGAAGTGTTATATAAAGGTCACGGTCGTTGCGGTTATTAGTATCTAACCTACCTACAAAACACCGAATCATAGTACTGATTCATAAAAAACTTGCTCTGAATTAGCTGTCCATCACAAATTACCCGGTGTTACAAACGAGATTATTTTGATATATATATCTATATATTATAGATACACGCATGCAAGCAATCATGCACATCTTCCTCAGGAAATGACGGATATCATGTTGCGTACGACACCACGTGAAAATAAACTCACTTTGTGGCAGGTGTTGCATTGGGTAATACTGATTTCCGGCAGGACGGATTTATAGTAACGCGGACGCAGAGGAGCGGTGTGATCGACCACAATAACTTCGGATGATGAAATTGTACTCAAAGTATCGGCATCTAGTTGCACGGGAGAATACACACCGGTTATAAGCTAAAACGGAGAGAAAGAGTGCAGACAAAACGCAGTCATTATCTCAGCCAAATGGTACAAAATCGCTTTGTTTTACAAACTCCAGAGGTAAAGGGCATTTGATCATTAGGGCACAGAACTAAACGGAATCACTTACATCGGAACTGAGCAGTTTTGCAGTGAATCGATCTTGCTCATTGGACAGGTCACCTTTTCCTTGGGAAATTTTCAATGTTTGAGATCCTGAAAGAGAACGCATAAGGATAATAATGCAGATTTCATTGTAGAAAAAGCTGTTCATCGGGGGAGTTTGGATCCATATTCGTGTTTGCTTGAAGTTAAAATTGCATCGTGGATTGGTTTGAGATTATAGTAGGGTCATTCATTTTGGACTTCTTAGTGAAGTCAAAGTGTACAGTGCTATGTTTTGAAGACTTTTTTCGCTTTACTTCTATTTATTGAATACACAAAGAAACAATTTTCAGGAAGCCGGAGGGGGAAGAGCTGCCGTTCAACAAACACAATGGGGAAAGTCAGATGGTGGGATTCGAACACACGTCCTCCGAGGGTGATAATTTGGTGACGTTCACACCGGGCCATCACCGCCCAGTGGTGCATAACTAACATTGCGTGACTAATACAACTGCACTCAATGTGTGGTAATACATGGCTTCTGCATCTACCGAACTTTATAGTAGCTATAAATCTAGTCATCGAAATTTCCCGTCTTGTGTTTATAATCCTAAGGATTCTCGGTCACTTTGGAGGGAAAAATGTGCTTAATCTATAAACCGAGTCACATAATATTACTTATTAAAATAACAGGGATATGTGATAACAGCTAAGTTGAAGAAGAGTACTTCACTGGTATATTTTTATCAGTTGAAGCCATCGTTTAAAACAGTTCTACAATTTCGACTCAGAACCACAACGGTGTGACTGAGCTCAAGTAAAGTCTGGAATCATGTGGCCACAGCCCAATTGGTGGTTACCGCGTAAAATGAAAAAAATTCTCATTTCACAGGTGATGATACTCTAGCATAATACCAATACACTCTTCCACTTTTAGGTGGCAACCACAGCAATTGCAGCCTGATGTGGAGCCTCCTCCTCCTGAGACAACAGAAACTGTCAACTATTGATGATTGCGGCCTATGCAAATCTTAACAGCCTTCCATTCGGAATTTATTAGTGTCCAAACGTAGCATTATGTTTGTCATCAAAATTTATCTCGGGAACTGCTTGCTTTGGTTTTATAATCGGGGGAGTGGTTTCTCCTTGGTTACATCCCACGACATAAAAAACGAGCAACGAATAAATAAGATCGACTTCTGATATACTGGAGGCCAAAATAAAACAGGATGTGTACATCTGTCAGTTCGGGTTCAAATCTGTCAAACTACCATTTGCACCACTAGCCTTGTCTTAGATGTTCATTCGGTGGACTCCGGTGAATTCTAAGGAAAACCTGTCGGGGCAGTCAGCTTAAATGCTAACTGGTGGATGCCATATGCCTCTGTAAGTTGGATGGGTAATTCGAATGTGAAAAGATCAGTACTATCGGTGTGACCTCGTAGCTCAGCTGGTAGAGCGTACGCTGTACGAAACGCGTAGGCGGCGCCTATGCATGGGTTCGAGCCCCACCGAGGCTACTGAACTTTTCACAATTGAAATACAAACTTCAAATCTGTCAAACACCTATTTGCAAGAATCACCTGTTTACACGCTATCCAGAGATACAGATCGTTCATTTCTGAATAGTTCAAAACTGAGCGCCACTTTTTCGATTTGTAGCAAAATGGTAGCAATTCTGTACTGGCCGAAAGGGGACAAAATCACGAGCAGAGCTGCCTGTAATCACGGAAACACGGTATGGACGGTTTATCTAAGGATTTGAATAAGAACTCACCGAGTCAACAAGACAGGTGTACGTGAAAAGAAAAATAGAGCACTACGGTTTCAGCCCTTGTCTACGCGGACAATTTGTGCATGGTCTCAAAAACTTGTGAACAAATTAGAGTGTAAAAAAAAAGAAAAAAATGACTTATGAGCAATTGAACAAGGTTTATGAACATCGTCTAAACGGGGAAAAATTTACATCAAAGCTTTTGACACGAAAATAATGTAGTTTATCGAGAACAATTATGATGTGAATATGAAGCGCGCTAACTGCAACAAACAGTTATCTAGTAGCGGCATATTTCAATGCTGGCGCCATTGATTTGACGCGTGTTTCTCTGTACATCATATTTTACCATTTCGTTTTACCTGTTCGCCGTGCTTGGCAATCTGGTTGTAAACGTTTCATCACTAGCCAAGGTGACAGCATCAGCAATTGTGAAGTGGGTCACTAATTTTAAAACTTTTCCAGTAATCGATTGATCAACAGGAATGAATAATTTCCCAAAGGAACATTATCACTCGTGGAAGTTCACTACCATCAAGGATTTTTTTATTTAACTTGTCATCAGAACACAGATAGTAAATGAACATACGTCTTCGATGAGTTCCTTCTCAAGCCGTTACAATCACATTTATGAAAGAAAACAGTGAGAGGGTGTTGTGTTGGGGTCAAACAGTCGAGATTAAAGGGGTGGGGTTCCAAGTTCTCTTGTTCATATAAGAACGGGTAACGTAAGCGCTGATAATTGATTTGGGTCATCACAAAGCCCATGCGTCGTGATGTTGTCCGCCTTGGGCCTGGGAAGTTTAAGTGCTTGAACAAATGTTTCTTTTTGAGCACAAAATTTTGGCTTCAACAGATAAAAATAGATTCCGGTCCTTTGTACACAGTTGGCAATAATTTCGATCACTACTACAGATATGTGGACGATGTGGATGACCTTGATCATCAAACTTCCGTTCAAAGGAAATCCAGCAGCTGAAAGGGTTACTACACCTTTTCCCATCAGGCTTTAGCCAAAACCCGTAATGCTTTAGCCACGACCGGCAATCCTTTAACCTCGATGTACAATTTTTGGTCACACTGCTGTAGGCGAGTCAGAACAAAAACTATCGGTATATTCTGAGGTCAACGAATATTGAAAAAATTCATATTTTACAACTTTTCATATT